TTTTACCCTTTGTATCCCATTAATTGACAACAAGAATAATGTCTCAAAACTTTTTTTTGATCGTAATGTCTCAAAACTTTAAGTTGACACTGAGGACATAACCAATAATTAAGGATCCTGAATTTTATCAATTCAGGACCCGAAAGATAGATTATTATCAATTCAGGACCCGAAAGATGAAACATATCAATATAGGACCCGAATGATGAAAAACTATCAATTTAGGACCTGAATTATGGGAAACTATTAATCTAGGACGTAAGTTGTCATGAACTTTATTATTATTTTTGTTTTAAAAAATTTTAAATATTAATTAGTTTTATTAAACTAATAAACTTTTGTGAAGAAAAGTTTATCAAAAATTAGTAATGGATTTAATAAAAAATTAAATAAATCAAAACCTATGAAATATTAGGTCCTAAATTGATAGTTTTCCATCATTCAGATCCTATATCGATACGTTTCATCTTTCGGGTCCTGAATTGTTAATTAATCTATCTTTCGGGTCCTAAATTGATAAAATTCCTCCGTAATAATTTAACAAAAACGACCATACGTACATTTATCGTGGTATATTTAACGATGGAAACTAACATATCAAAATCACACACGGAGTATCTAGTTTCTTATTATATTGTTATCTTATACGGAGTACTTATCTCTCTATCTTATCTGATTTATCTTACTTTTTTTATTCTTCTTCCTTCTCTTTTGGCTCTGATATCATGGATCGATTTATGTTAGGTGACTCCAAAATCTTTTGGTATTAAGACTTGGATGTTGTTATTGTGATCTTATGATTAAAGTCCAATTTACATTTTCTCAGAATCTGAGCCGGAGCCCAGAGTAAAACTTGTTATTTGTGAGCTTGTGATTAAACTCTAATTTAGATCATTTAATTATTTGTCCAGCCGGTGCAAGAAGACCTTCAAAGATGGGGTGTCATTTTTTCCCTTAGATTTTTCAGACTGTTCGATGACACCCTGACTTTGCCCCTGCCTTTGGCTCTCAGGCTCTAGGCCTGGTTTTACAACCCCATCAATAATATTTATATTAAAAAATAATTTAGAATTTTCAAAACTTTAATATTAGAATATAATTTAAATTTTATGTATATTTGTCATTTTATCTTAGGAAAATAATTAAAATATTACAAACTCTTTGAACTCTTTTTTGAGACTAAGAATGGAAATTGTTATTGTATTCTAAACTCTGCGATTGGAACTCAACATCTTGAATTTACATATTGGATAATAGTATTTATATTATTTATTATTTGTACATGTACAATATTTAAGTGTAGTACTTATCATCACTCATAGCATAACCGTATTCATAGTTATCCCGTCATATTATACGGGGTAATGATACTTATCCCGGATATGATATTTAAGATGTTTTTACTTGGACTGTAATTTGCTGGTCTGATCTGGTCTGATCTGGTCTGAACTGGTTTGGTCTGGTCTGGTAAGGTCTGGTTTCTTTGTATTTTTATAACTATCCACGTCTGGTCTGAACTGGTCTGGTCTGGACTGGTCTTGTCTGGTCTGGTCTGGTCTGGGACAAATTACAGTCCAAGTAAAAACATCCTTATTTGGAGTCGCCTAATATGATACTTACTAGAATTTACATACGTAGTAAGATATTTATTTGGATAATGATACTTCGTATCATTAACTTCTCACTTTCTTTTTCGGGCAGTCCCGAAATTAACTTCACACTTCATAACTTTTCTTATTTGACAAATAATCTACATCAAAAAAGTGTCAAACAGTGCCAAACAGTGTCCAAACAGTGTCAAACAGTGTTTAAGCAGTGCAATACAGTGCACTCCACAGTAAAGTCAAATTCATTTTCTTAATCTGTGTGAAGTCAAATTGAGAAGTTAATTTTGGGACGGAGGTAGTACTCCGTAGTACTTTATATGGAGATAGTCGATCCAAGAATAGTATAGTACGACCGTACAACTGTACATCTAAAAAGTAAAAATTATCAATGATCACCTTATATTATATAATCATCAAAATTATTTCTCGAAATGTACTCAAATTGCCATATTTAATTACTCCCTCCGTTTCTATTTGTTTGACGTAGTTTGACTTCTCAAAAATTAAGGAAAATATTACTGAAGGGTAAATTTTATTGTTTGTTTGGACATTGTTTGGACACAGTTTGACACTGTTTTGTTTACCACATGAGAAATGTGACATTCATTTTGAAACGTCCAAAAAAGGAAAGTGTATCAAACAAATGGAAACGGAGGGAGTAATATCTAAATAACCATGTCATTTTGCAATTGAAACCTTTGAAAGGGACGGAGATAGTATAATGATAATGATGATACAAAATATTTAATGTGCAAATATTAATGACTATTTTAGTTTGCGTGTATATCATAATAGTATATAGTTTGAATGTTTTGTTATTTTTTATGGCAATAATGACATTAGTCTGGTTGAGATCCCACGGCTATATGTTTGCTGATCGTCCTGTCTCCACCAAACAGATGAGATTAAGACAAGCACATCCTAATGCAAATTTAATCAACCAAATAGAATAGTTGGAAGTGTGAAGAAAATAAAAAAATTGATTCTTTTATGTTATGTGGGTTAATGTTTTTCAGCCCATCCTTCTTTTGTTTTGAAACAGAACTTAAGCCGAAAGCTGGTCCATATACTATCTGGTCTGCTATTCATGGCTTCCTGGCCTCTATTCAGGTAGCTAGAAATTATCAAATGTAAAAAGTAATGAATGCTACCTCTCTTAAATACTTAAACTGATGATTTAGAGCTAAGTTTAGCGACTCAACAGGAGCACGCTACTTTGCTTCCGTAGTCCCCCTCTTGAATTGTTTTAGGCTGCTTGTCCATGGCCTTCATTTCTCTCAAGATGAAGTGCTCATCAAGTCTGTCACCCGAAATGGAAAGCGAGAGTAAGCTTGAAATTATGTTCTGGCCTTGTACAATCATTTCATGGCAATGCTTGTGACGATTTCTCTTTTGGCCCATTCTCCTTGCAGAGAATTGCTACGAGGCCCGTTGTTCTATGTGCTGATACTGATCATATGTGCTCTTGTCTTCTGGCGTGATTCGCCTGTTGGAGTAGTTGCAGTAGCAATGATGTGCGGTGGAGATGGTTAGCTCTATATTTTGTTATGAATACTGAATAGTCTTCCAAAGTTTTCCGCTTCAGCTAAATATAAATTAGCAAATAAGCTATTCAGATCGGTCTGATTGGTCCGAACCAGAATATTCAAGGTTTGGGCAGACAAGAGTTGGACCCGAATATTGAAAACCCTGGGACAAAAGACGGGACATATTGCAGTCCGATTGGGACTGCAATATGTGTTTCCCTGCCTGTAATTACAATTCGGACCACCATTTTTTATTTATAACTATGTCTGTTGTAGGTACTGCTGATATAATTGGGAGAAGATTTGGTTCTGCAAAATTTCCATACAATCAACAGAAGAGTTGGGCAGGCAGTATCGCCATGTTCGTTTTCGGGTTCTTGATATCCATGGGGTATGATGTCAAGCTAAACTATTGATCCATTAAGCCATTTGCGTGCTTGTTTGAACATGTATGAAAAGATTTTTCTTGATGTGTTGTATGGTTTGAAGGATGCTAGGTTACTTCTCAGCCCTTGGATACTTTGACTTGGATTGGATGCCTACAATGGAAAGAGTAGCACTTGTTTCTTTGGTGGCAACGGTGGTGGAATCTATACCAACCAATGGAATGGTTGACGATAACATATCAGTTCCTTTAGCAAGCATGCTAACTGCCTCTTTATGCTTTGGTTTCTATTAGAATGTGTGATTTGGAGTAGTGTGTTCCTTCACGATTTGTTTTTCAACCAAACATGTTTTCTGGTTTCCATTTTGTAAAGCTCGGGTATAGTGTTGTTGTTGTTTTTGGTTACTGAGTGAGAACACTTGTCCAAACATGCTAGCTTAGGGACTCCCAAAACCACCTAGTTTATGACTTCATATGTGGCTATGTCTTCAGTTTAAATCTATTCGGCTTCCATTTTATGTGCGGCATTTGTTCGAGTGGGTGTACTCTTCCTTCAAAAGAAGAATTATTGTTTGTATGCGATTGTATTTGTGGAAAAGTGATTGTCTTTTGTGGAAAGCAATGAACGTTGCTACTCTTACACCATATGTAGTTTGAGATTCGAATGCGTATAAGACTATGTAGTAGTTTGGGATTCGAATGCGTATAAGACTATTTGAGTTCAAAAAATACACATAAAAATAATAAATTTGATTTGAATTGTTATGAATTACAAATAAGAATGTGACCTTATTAGTTAAACTTATTGGATTAATAATTAGTTATTAATAGCAGAATAATATGTAGTATATGATGCATAGGGACTTACTTAGTATTAATAATAGTCATAGTAATAATAATAGTAATAACACTATAATACGAGTAGCTTTTAAAAACTAATTACACTCAAAATGTAGGCCACTTATATTTACTTATATACATTCCAAACTTATTTGTAGTAAATAAAAAGCACATAGAGAGTAAAGGATGTTAACGAAACAAATAATTTTAATTCAATTTATGATTTGGATTTAGAAGATATATTTGAATTCTAAAATATGTATAGAATATGAATATAAATACAAATCAGATTTTTGATTCAGACATCTTTTATGAATACAAATAATTTTATATCGAATTCAAAGAACAATCAAATATAGTTGTTTAAAAATTAAGCCCGGCCATACTTGGTTAGTTCTTTTGGAAGGTACAGAATATTTAAATTTAGTTTAATTTTATGAGGTAAAAAGTATTCTCCCGATCCCATTTTGTAAGATATTTTTACTATTTTTGATCAATACAAATTACTCTTAATCTCTTACTCTATACTTCGTATATTAATATTTTATCAAATTTGATTCTGATTTTTGCAATTCTATAAAGTTTTTAATGTAATTTTTTGAATATGTAATTCTTTTTTCTTAAATTAAGAGTTCCTCTTGCTTTATCTCGGTCAAACATAAACCGTCCTCCTAAAGTGTGTTACAGTTCAAAACCGAGGGAGAACAAATCAAGCCCGGCCGTTCGCCTTCATCATTCTTCTCACTGATGCCCCAATTGACAGGTAAGATGATTCGTCGATAGCGCTACATTCAATTGGCCTGATTTCCCACACCGGTCCATCTCTCGGTTTGACTTCTCCGAATCCGGCAAACATCGGGTGATCACAAAACATCCTAATGTGAGTCTGGGCGCAGGCAGCGACAGCCTCCGTAAGCGGCGGCAATTTCCGGGAGCAAGTCTCCACCTTGAAACCAAATTCATAAAGTGACCTCACGTCAGCAGACTGGGTAGGGGCCGGCGGCGGCGCAATTCCTCCTCTGATTATCTCTACCGTTATTTGATTCGCGACCATCCCGCCGCCGTCACACGACGGTTCGCAATCAGCCAACGTCCCCGACCCTTCAAAGAACCCGGCGACAACTCCGGCCACGTGCTTGACCTGAACAAACCAAGCCATTGAGTCTTTCATGCTGAAGTACCTGTCGTACTTGCTCAGATCATCGTCGCCGGCGGTGGCCGGAAAGTCAAAGTCATCGTAGCGCTTGGCAAATGCTTCGTTCAGTTTCCGGTCGGCCTCGCAGGGGTACTGCAGCCCAGGGGAGATCAAGCTCCACTTCTCAAACTCAGTCCTTTCTTCCACCACCGGAAAACTGTGGTGGCCGAAAAGAACGGATTCGCCGGCACCTTCCCTCACCGGGAAATGGTCACCCTTTCCCGGGTACCGCGGTTCTTGACCGTTGATTTCCCCATTCAAGTGCTCCAGAAGGGCAAAGATTCCCGGGATGTTCGGGAGGAAGTGACATTCCAAGGAATCTTTCAAGAACTGGCTTCTTCTCTCCGGGCCGGGATTTACAGGGAGGCGTGGGTAGACTTTCCCGTAGCTGGAAAGCTCTGGTTGTGAAGAACAGAGTGTTTTGAAGAGGAGAAGCAGAGGGCCGGCGACGGGTAAAGTCTCCGGCGGGTTGTTGGAAAGGAAATGGATTAAGAATTGGTGTTGCTCGCAGGAAAGGGCAGAAACATGGAAACCAGCACGTAAGGACTGGATCCAGAAGAGAATGCCAAAGTATAAACGCAGAATGTAGGGGTGATAGGAAGGGGAGGCCCTTCTGAAAGAGAGGTTGTCAACCAATCTGAAGTTCATGTGATGGAGGATGAAGTCCATCATGTGACAGGAGGGGTGGTAAGAAGAAAGGTTAAACCTTGGCTGGTAGATAATTTTACAGTTCCGAAAAGCATCCAACATTTTACTGATATGCTCAAGTTCTCATTAATGGCAGCTATAATTTATACACCTAATCGATTCCGAACTGCCTCTTCGTCTTCTGTGTCTTGATCATCAATCTTGAAGTTCATCGTCATTCAAAGCATTACATAAAGACTTGGTGAATGATCACCTATTGATATGATCATAATGAGAAAATTCCCTAGTTCACTAATTTTAAACATGTACCCTTTTTTCAAATAAAAAACACCCCTAAAACGGAAAATAAGATTGATCCACATTTTTTTTGGACAATTCTTTCTAACATATATAGTATCTGTTCAATGTTGATGCCAACATCCTTGAATTGAGATGAGATTCGAACCTGTGACCTCCTCCTTCGGAGTGACACAGTGATGCCATCAGACAACAAGGTACTTAGCAGATTGATCCACATTTTACAAAACAAGAGTAAAATGTAAATTTATCATACTTTATAAAAATTAGAAACATGAAATTTATCAATTGAATGAATGCGGCATTAAATGCTTAGGAAATCAATTGGTCCATTTTTTTTGGCAAACTCAATTGGTCCATTTGTGCACTGACTTTTATATTATTTTTGTTGAATTATATTTTAGACTTAATCACTACATTTTTGTCATCGATTTGTGCAACGATGTTGATGTAGTAATGAGGTTTGCTAATTGAATATGTGTATAATTTGATTTGTTTTTATTATATACAAGACCCATTTTTTTATTCAATTTTTTGTAACAGATATTGCATTATAGACACATAAGTATTTACATGTTTTTAAAAAAGACAACGTTTTTTACAAGATATTCTTAAGCGTTTTAGTTCATTTTTTATTACAACGTGTACCCGTTGAACCTCATTTAATTTGTGTACCATATTTAACTAACTAGGCGTAATTCACCCCTAAAAGTATAAAACAAAGATAAAAATGCAAAAGTAGGACTTGTTTAAAGACATGAACTATGAAGTACAAAAACTCTTTGTGGCTCACTTTACAAAAAAAACATTGTCCTTTTATTTTTAATAATTACGTGTTTCCCCACATTTCATATCCTATATATTTTAGAAATTACATTCCCGCATTTCCTGTTTCACTTTTCTGTGCTATTTAAGACATGAGTTGCCAACATTAAATCAATGAAAAGGCTGATTTCTTTATCAATATTCATATTACAAAATAAAATAATAAGACAAATTCTATAGAGATCAAGTATGCAGACATATGGTGGCGCTAAATCTAGTGCGTGGCTACCGCTGTCTCTGATGCCACCATTCGTCTCATCTGCCACGCCGCCATCTAATAAATCATCATCTAGTACCCTCATGTCTTCCATGGCCTTCACGTATATCCTCCCTTGGCGCCGCATCATTTGAAATCACTGTCGACGGCCACTGCATCTTAAACCGATGTCACCAGTTGCCTCATTGGGTGTGATTGTCGCCGACCGCCCTTTCAGATGTCGTCGTCTCCTCCCTCACTTGGGCATCCGTCGTCTCATATATCACAACATCGTGTCTTCCACCATGACCACCACCTCATATGGCGAGATTGGGATAGATCCCTGTCTTAGAAAGACAATTACAGGAATTGTCATCTTATCAATGGAATGCTATCTTAATTGCATCCTTTCAAACAGACACACACAATATGAGTGACAATATCATCTCTACAACAATAATATTGACTTACTAATGTCATATTGTAATGCATTGTTTATTCCGCACCGAAAAACTATGAAACAACAAAACACAATGTAAAATATTGGATTACGTACTCCTCTTACCAGGTTGACCTTCTAGGATAAAACTTCGAGTCTTAACATGATGTCAGAGACAGATCCGGTTTATGGTTTGATTGTTATTTATTAGCACTCATGATTTTGGGTAACTTGTAAGGGTCTTTTTAGCTCATTTATAGACCCTGATATTGTCTGGTCTAGTTTGAACTGAGAGTTAGGGCATGTTAAAGTATTTGTCCCACACCAGATTGTTTAAAATAATAAATAAGTCATCACCGTTTAAGATCTTGAATTACTCCTTCTATACAGTTGACCTTTGATAATGAAACCTTGAATCTTAACATGTTGCCAAAATGTTATCTTCAGAATGAAAAATATAACATTATAATTGGTTTATTTTGGAAAGACTAATATTGCCATCATCTTGAAATGGCATTGTTTTTCAAATTGGCATTTTTAGATTGAAAAGTGTGAGTAAAATTTATGTCAAATTTTTAGCAAATAAATCAAAATTAATAAAACAATAAGATCCAAAATATTAAAATAATCAATTAGCATTGGAGTCTCACACTTTTCAATCCAAAAAATTCATGTATAAAACAACAATTGAGACTTCGAATCTCAAAATTAAACAAATATCCCCCGTCCCATTGAATTCTTCCAACTTTCTTTTTTGGGTCGTCCCAAAAAATTCTTCCAACTTTCACTTTTGCAAAAAATATGTGGTTCACATTCATTAACCTTTTTCATACACAACTACAACCATACATCTCCCCTTTATTCCAACTTTCTAAATTTGCGAGCCAAGTTTGATTTGGAAGAATTTATTAGGACGGAGGTAGTAAATCATTAGAAAATACTCCTTCCGTCCCAATTTACTTAGGCAAACATGATTTTCCAAGTCAATGGTACCTAACTTTGACCGCTTATATATTTATATATAGATATATATAAAATATTAATAATATGAAAATGTTCTTTGTTGAAAAGACTATCATAAAAGTATAAAATTATTATTTTTTGCATAAATATATTAGTTCAAATAATTGCTCAAAGTTTACCACCTTTGACCGGAAAAGTCAAGATTGGCTAACTAAAATGGGACGGAGGGAGTAGCAAATAAGAGCATCCACATTGATGAAATTCATCTTTACGGTTTTTCATGGTTATTGCTGCCATGTCACCTTCACATAAGATAATATCAAATAATCCCCAAACCAATAAATTTCTCCTCATTCATGATCTTAATTTGCCTAGATTTTTTATGAAACATGCACTCAATTTTAAAATCTCTAACTTAAATGCACTCACACACTCACATGCACTCTACATGCAAAAACTATATTACGGAGTATATTTTTAAATATATATAGTGCAATACGTGGCTTTAGTACAGGGGTAAGACTCCGTACACCGACCCCCCTTACCCCACCGTAAGTGGGAGCCTTTGCGGCACTGGGTAAATGATGATTGATGATTTTGATATAGTGCAATATGTTAAACATGCATTTAAAATGTTTTAATTAATGTGTTTTAATTTAGTACCTAGATAATTACAAAACCATTGTTCACACATTAGAATTTAATTACGAAGCATATCATATACAAATCATTGTTGATCTTCATCATAGAAAATGGTTGGATAGCAACGGCAGTGCATGCAGTACTTAAAGTTGGGTTCAATCCAACGTAAATAAATTCCAACGTAAATTAATCCAAGTTCGGTTCAAAGTGAAGTGAGTGCTTCGTAAATACGTAGTACATAGCAATGATAGCCGCATGCACTACTTTAAATATCGATACTAGTGCCCCATGAAGTGAGTAATTATGAGTATAACCTAGAAGTTGGAAATAATCTCAAAATAATCCATCTTTAGAATTTGATACCAGATTATTTTATCAAATAATCTCATAAAATAATCTCAACTCCACATCCATGATCCCCAAAAAAATCCCCCACATCATCAAAATAATCCCAAAAATAATCTATGGATGTGGATGCCCTAACAAAAAATACACGAGACTAAGAAAATAGAGGAGCATTAGGACAAAGAGGAGGAGGAGGAAGAGGAGGGAGGAGGGGGAGGAGGACGACAACTATGGAGTTTTTAGTAAATGACTTCCACAAAAGAAAGTGGAATACACCTTTCATTCCTTTGTGCGAGTAGTACTTGTAATTATTTTAAACTCATCTCAAATATTACAATTACCCTCACTTACGAATATATCGTCATCGTTGTACCTCAAAACTGATCCCAATTAAACCCGGAAATCTTCCCTACTAGGTGTGCCAACCCATTGGATTAACACATTGTAACATAATGACTCGAATACCACTTCTAACACCCCAACTTCATAGGATCCTATAGCTAGGTGATACTCTTGGATGTCTCTAGATTAAGAAATATTATTCAAGTGGTAGGATTGTGCAATGGAACGAGGTTATTCGTAACCAAACTGGGAAAGCACACGTTGGAATCCAAAGTAATAACGGGAAAAGCCATAAGAGACATAGTTTACACGCCCACAATCCCATTGTCACCATTGGATATAAGATGCAAAGACGACTTTCCTCCACGGTGATTTAGAGGAAGATATCTACATGGAGTGAGTGATTTAAAGTTTCAAACAAGGAAAAGTAGCGAGCTGTGTGGCCAAGAGTCTATATAGACTTAAACAAGCACCAAGGCAATGGTAGATTATGATTTCAAAAAGACGTAAGGCGGACATTGTGTCTTCACAAAGAGGTATGCAAGTGGTGATTTTCTCTTACTTCTACTCTACGTTGATGATATGTTAGTTGTTGAACAAGATTGATGTTTAGCTGCTTTAATGAAATATCTAATAAAGAGCTTCACCATGAGAGATTTAGGATCAATTAATTACACAAATCCTTAGGATGTGAATAACTCGTGATGGACTAAAAAGACTGCTGTGACTATCCCAAAAGTGGTACATAGAGAATGTGTTAGAACGGTTCACCGTAGACAAAACAATGTCGGTTAATACACCATTTGTTGGACACTTCAAACTGAGTTCAAAGCGGAGTCCCATGAATGAGAAAGAAGCGGAGGAAATGGTAACATACAATCTCATGTATGCAATCATATTCACATCACCAGATATCACCTATGCAATTGGAGTTGTCAGTGGCTTCAAACTTCCAACATATGTCTATGCTTTGAAAAATAAAGCCTATGTAGAAGGGTACATAGATGTAGGTTTGACACCAAACTACTTGGTATTGATTCAAGGAAATAAACATCGGGACACCTAACTACTTGGGGGGGGGGGATGTTTCTTAGCAATTAAATCTGTAAAAAGTGTTGTATTATCCACCACAAAGGGGGAGTACATCGCAACTACTGAAGATTACAAGGAGATGTTGTCGATGAAGAACATGCTGTTAGAGCTAAGAATACATCAAGAAAGGTACGTGTTTGAATTGCGATAATCAAAGTGCAATTTACTCAGCAAAGAACTCAATATTTCATTCCT